GGCCGCAGCTCCATCAGCCCCGGCAGAGCCGCCCGTGAGCTTGGCGTGAGCAGACTCGGAGCCCCCAGGTCTTCGCTCGCCCTGTCGATCGCTCTCGGGATCACTCCTCCCTTCCTCCCTCCCTTCTTCCCGGCGGCCGCGGCGGCGCTGGGGAAGCAGCGAAGAGGAGTGGCTCGGCCCTGGAAGAATGCGGCTCTGCCGAGGGGGCAGAGCCCGACGCTGTCTCTCCACGGTTTAAGCAGCCCGAGCCGAGCCCAGGCGACCCAACTGGGCCAGTCGCGGACCCCATACCCGAACCACTGGAGGTAATCAGATGATGAAAGCAAGAAGGGCATCGCGCACTCGGGTAGGAGACAGGCACGCGGGTAGTCAGACAGACAGAAACGCATCCACCCACAGGAGCAGAGGCGCAGAGAGAGCCAAAGAAATTACTAGAGGTAAAGACAGAGAATAAAAGAACATCCCCAGGTTTGGAGGGCAATGAGAGGGAGAGCAAAGGGGTGGGGGCTGAGGCTAGGATCTGTGAGGACCAGACCTGTGGTTGCTGAGGACAGAAGCCGGTAGTTAGGAAAGGTGGGGAACAGAGACAGGGACTCAACTTGCACTCCTGTCCTTTTCAGGGGAGAGCCAGGTTTCCCCTGCCTTTCGGCATCTGGAGCCTCTCTTCTCTGGCTGCACAGGAATGCATAGAGTGGGCTGGGGACACTTCTGGGGGGCCTGGCTGCCACTGAGGGCACCTGGAGGCAACCCCCCTATGTGGTGGGGAACCCCCTCCTTGCCTCCTGGCCCGGGAGAGGTGGGAAGTCAGTCCTGGGGCCCTCAGAGAGGGAGCAGTGCAAGGTGGTGGAGAGCGTTAGTGTGTGTGCGCGTCTGCATGAGAGTGCATCTGTGTGCCAGGCATTGTGTCTGCCTTGGCAGAACGCCAGGGTGCTTGTGTGAGTCCTGAGTTGGGAGACCTAGACTCTTCCTCTAGGACTCAAGAACTCTGAGAACCAAAGGGTGATTTTTATTGTTTTGCTCCAGGAGGGGCGAGGAGGGTCAATGGGTGGCACCGTGGGTTAGAAACTCAGAACAGGGCATTCTCTGATTGCCCCGCAAGCCACCCATTCCCCGTGAGCCACCCAATTCCGAAGCCCACATCAGATCTCGGGTCTTGCAGGCTCCGACTGATTTGCCCACCGGAGCCTCTGGGCTTCGGGCTTCGACATGCTGGAGGAGCCCCGGCCGCGGCCTCCGCCCTCGAGCCTCGCGGGTCTCCTGTTCCTGGCGCTGTGCAGTCGGTGAGCAGCTCCCCATCTACCTGCCCGCGGGAGAAGCACCCACCGGGGTGGGGGGAGCTGGAGGGTCCTGAGGCCTGGACCACAGACTCGGAGATGCCATCTCTGTTCCCAGGGCTCTGAGCAATGAGATTTTGGGCCTAAAGCTGCCCGGCGGCGAGCCGCCGCTGACGGCCAACACCGTGTGCTTGACGCTGTCCGGCCTGAGCAAGCGGCAGGTGGGCCGCGGCCTGGGCAGAGCCGAGG